TTCGAGGCCTTCCTCTTGTATCAACCAAGGCATGCCCATACATCTCATCATCCATATGCCATCGTGTTATCAGTTGTATTAAATTCTTGTGTCATCTATGACACTACACAAAAAAAAAAAAAAAAAAAAATTGAAAATTTAATTTCAAATCATATTATTTATTAATATCAAAATAAGATTTGATAAAATAGATGACAATGCTTTCTTTGGATACCAAATAAATGTAGAAAATAATTTTTTAAAAGTCATTTCTATAAACAAAAAGATCCTTAATATTAAGTGTTTGCCTTATAGGTTGGTATGAAGGTTAAGTCACATCATGTCTGTCATAATCTTGATTAGTCTTCAGGATTAATTGTTTAATAACCACGGGAAAATAGAGGTTTTGGAGAGGTTTTGGGTTCAAATCTATGGTTTTACAGAGAAATTCAAAGGAAGTAACATTATTTGATTTAAGAAAAGAATAGAGATAGATTACTTATGTGGCACCTAAGTACATTAGATTAAAGAACTAGAAACTACCTATCAAAATGAATAATAGTTCACAATGAAAACAGACTGGGGGAAGTTAGAGAGCATGATATTTATAGATGGTAGATTAGCATTCAAGAATGAAAGAATTTGTTCTTGCTAGTTTTGTTTTACTAACATGACTGTACCAAAAATTCTTTTCATTTTTTAATTAAAGACAAACACTTGCATCTTTATTTTTTTAATTAATTTGATTAATATTTTAAATTTTAGATTAAGTTCTTGTGTCATTCATGACATTACACCATTCTGCCAAAAAAAAAAAACTGAAAAATGAATTTAAAATCATATTATTTGTTAATAGCAAATGAAAATTTGACAAAACCTCCCCTAAAAATAAGACTTAAGCCATGTTATCAAATAAATTTAACACCATATTCCCTTATAAAGAACACTTATTGTAATATCCCAAAATTTTGGGGATATTTTAGCATTAAGTAAGGGACTTATTTGAGGAAAAATATTGTTTTGGGGTTTAATCGTAAAATTTTAAGAAGTTGAGGGGCTAAAAAGAAAAGAAATTAGGATAAGGATCAACCACTTTCCTTTTTCTGTTTTTTCTTTCTTTCTTTCCTCCCTCATCAGACCCGCGTTTCTGCTCTTCTTCTTTTCTTCTCCCCTGCACCCGACCAGCCCCCCCCAAGCTGTCGATAGTTTCCCTTGTGAAACTCGGCAAAAAGCTTGAATTTCTCTTCTTTTCATGTTAAATCACGAGATTTGGGGCTTAGAATCTTCCCTCTCAACCCAGAAATCCCGGATCTGCTCTGCTTCTTCCTCCCTTGTCCGTCGGGTTCTGCTGGGTTTGAATCCTTCGGCTTTTTCTGGTAAGATTTAGCCATGAATTCATCTCTTTAGCTTTGAATTTGGCTTGGGTTTACCTTGAATTGTGTTTTGGTTTTTGGATTGGGTAGCCGCGAGTTCCCCTGCAGAATTTCTTCTTCTTTGCCGCCGGCTTCTCCCCCCTGCTAGGCTCGGTTTTGCTTGTTAAATTCTGGTATGTGACAGCCCTCCAACCCCGAATTTGTCCGTTGATTTGCTGCCTTGAATCTTGAATTTTCTGCCTTTGATTTGCCCTTGTACTGTTCGGGAATTTCTGTTGAAATTGGGAATGAATTTTGGTAGCTTTAAGCTATGTTTTTAAGTGTGGTTTAAGTAGAAAATTAGCTTGAGTTGGCCTGTAGTGATTTTTGGAGAAAACCCGTGAGATTATTTTGGAGGATTGCAGTTACTGTTCACGGGCACTGTTCACGGGCACTGTTCACACATCGAGGGTCAATAATTAACGGGGATTTAAATGATTAGTTTGTGATATAAGAATGAATGCGGAGATGTCCGGTTATGTGAAGATTGATAGAAATAGCACCGTGATTAGGGGTAGTCCCGATGATGATTTTACTTTGAATTTGTGGTAGCGCGGTATTAATTGTGGAATATTGTGATTAAGTTTTGATCGTTCTGTCACCGTAGCGCTTGGGTTAGCCTTCGGTTCTGTGCGAGTGAGGTAAGTAAATTATGGTAAAGCCCTTCGATTTTAAAGCATGATTTAAACTGTTTTTGAGATGGTGGCAAGGTTTAAATTGATTTTTAATTGATTTTATTTGCATCTGAGTGTGATTAAACTGAAATGAGAATTTTGATGATTTTCATGAAAATTATTGTTTTCTGGAAGTGAGCATGATTGGAATGAAAAAGTGAGAATTTCATTGTTTTTCTTGAGTTATTGTGCCGAGCATGATTGGTTTGAAATTGAGTGGAGCATGCCTATTTGGAACTGACTGAACTGTTTTGATTAATGAGAGTTTTGTAAATTATGATTTTCTGTTAAATCCATGCCCACATGGAATTTTCTGGTTATTTCTGAAATTATGGATTTCGATCGTGAATTTGGGATTTCGATTGTGAATTACGGATTTTGATTGTGAATCCTGAATGGTTTTGTCTCTGATATAGTCATGATTTCCGATCCCCGCTAGTGGGTGTGTAGCACATCTGATCCCCGCTAGTGGGTGTAACGTTAGCACTTCCGATCCCCGCTAGTGGGTGTGTAGCACATCCGATCCCCGCTAGTGGGTGTAACGCTAGCACTTCCGATCCCTGCTAGTGGGTGTGTAGCACATCCGATCCTCGCTAGTGGGTGTGTAGCACATCCGATCCCCGCTAGTGGGTGTAACGCTAGCACTTTCGATCCCCACTAGTGGGTGTGTAACACTTCCGATCCCCGCTAGTGGGTGTAACGCTGGCACTCCTGATCCCCGCTAGTGGGTGTAACACTAGCACATGTCGACATGTTTACTGATGACCGGTTTATTCTGACGCCTGCCACTGGGCGAATACATTGGCAAATTTCTGTCGCCCGCCAGTGGGTTGTTATAACACTGGCCATGACTTATAGATGAGACTACTGAACTGAGTTTTCTTCAGCATTAACGGTTTGTTATGAGATGTTTTGTTATTGAACTGAATCTGATTCTGCAGTAACGGTTTTGTCATTGAACGTTTTGCTATTGAACTAAACTTGATTTCCGCATTAACGGTTTATCAGTGAAAGTTTTGCTATGTTTACATGGTTTATCTGGCATGTTAAAAGTTTTACCCAAGGGTTATCCATATTTACTTATTGAGTTATCTCATAGTTTTCCTTGTCCACCATTTCAGGAAGCGAAACCGAGGACGGGGAAAACCAAGGGGAGTGACGAGTTATAAGGCTAGCCATCTTGTAAAGTGAATATAGATTTGAGATGTAGATCGTGATCTTAAGAGTTAGAGTGTATGTGGAGATTTTTGATATCAGAGCAGACTGTAAAGATTTTATCTTGAGATTTTGTGGTATCCGATTGTGATTTGAATAAGTTCCGAGCCTTGTGCACTTGTGGGACCCGTCTCACGAGTGCACGGCGTCTGTCGCGTCTCGGATTTGGGTTCTGGGGCGTGACACTTATTTAACATGCAACTCCATCATTCAAGTCATTAATACACAACTCCACCATTTAAGTCATTAATGCATAACTCTCATTCAAATCATTCACCAAATATTTATAAATCATATGATAGATGAGATTTTGTTATCAAATTCAATTCAACACTATCAAACATGATATAAAATTCAATTTTGAGTGCATATATACTTAAGTAAAACTAATCAAATTATCATAAGGTAAAAATGATCATATAATATTTACCACAATTGTCTCAGCAACCATATTACAAAAAACACGTGGTGCTTCCTGGGTGGGACCAAGCTTGGAATGCCTGTGCATGTAACCATCTAAGCGAGTCAGTGACCGATTGATAGGCATTTGAGCTTTCTAGAATATCAAAGAATTTTGAAAGTTATTAGTTAACTAATTAGCTTAAAAATGTGTTAATGAACTAAATTAAAAGTAAAAGTTGAATGTACTCATTGAAAACGAAAAAGAGTAAAAGTTGAATGTTTTTATGTACTTCTTATGTGACATGGAGCCCCCAATTTGAGTCACAACGGGTCCTTTTTCCTGATTTGCTCATGCAATATTTGATGCTTTCTTATGCTTTTCATCTTTTATCCAAATTTTCACAAGACCCCGCCACACTGAGGGGGGAATGTATGATGGCATTTTTTGGAATTTGGCCTTAGCACACCGAGCCTTCAATTTGGATATAGTATCGGTCATCCTTCTATTGCTGTAATATCCCAAAATTTTGTGATATTTTAGCATTTAAGTAAGGGTTTTTGTGAGAGAAAATATTGTTTTGGAGCTTAATAATAGAAATTTCAAAGTTTAGGGACTTAAAAGGGAAAATTTTGGATAAGGATGACTGATTTTTTTTCTCTCCTTTTTCCTCTTCCTTCTTCAGCCCGATTTTGCTCTTCTTTTTCCCCTGCAGCCGAGCAAAGAAACCCAAGCCCGGCAGCACCCATCCCTTTGAGAAACCAGTGAGAAAGCTTGATTTTTGCCCTTCTTTTCTTGTTCAAGAACAAGATTTAAGCTTGGAAATCTTCCCCCCCCCCCCCTTCTGCAAAATTTCAGATCTGCTCTGCTCTTCCTCCCTTGTCCATCGGTGCTACTAGGCACAAATTTCTAGGCTTTTTCTGGTAAGCCACAGCCATGAACTTCATCTTTTCAGCTTGATTTAACTTGGGTTCAATTTAAATCTGTTGTTTCTTCAAATTTTGGTAGCCCCGTGAGCTTCCCCTCCAACTCCCGCAGACTACCAAGCTCGCCAGACCCGGTTTGCTGGCCGAAAATTTGGGTAAGAAACAGCCACTAATTCCTTTGTTTTTCCTTGAATTGGCTTCTAAGTTCCTTTTGTTCCTTCAATTTTGGGTTAATTCCGTGAGTCCCTTGCAGAATTTTTCCTTCCATGCCGCCGGCCTGCCCCCCAAATTGCAGCTCCGGTTTTTGCTGCTAAATTCTGGTATGTGACAGCCCTTTAAGCTTAAAATTATCCATTTAAATTGCTGCTTGTGCTGTCCGAAATTTTGCATTAATTAGGGGATAATTCTGGTAGCTTTAGGACAAAATTAGGAATTAATTCAAGTGGAATTTATGTGATTAAGTGTTAATTGACTGCTGTGAGATTTTGGAGAGAAATCCCATGAGATTAGTTATGGTTTTGCCAATTTTTGGAAGTTGCAGTTACTGTTCACGGGTACTGTTCACGCACTAATGGCCAACAATAGGAGGGTTTAAATGTTAGTTATACTGAGAATAAAATTAAGATGTTTGGTCATATGGTTGAATTTCATGTGAAGCTCATTGGTTAGTAAATTTGTGAAGTTGTGCTAATAATTTTAGTAAGGTCTGAATGCATTTATTTGGAATATTAGGTGTTGTTATGGTTTAGAGCACTTGGATTGAGTCTTCGGTTTTATGCGAGTGAGGTAAGTAAATTATGGTAACGTCTTTCGATTTCAAAGCATGTTTTAAATTGCTTTTGAGATGGTAGCAAGGTTTAAATTGATTTTATTAGCATCGAGTATGATTGATTTGAAATGGAATTATTTTCGTTTTCATTGAGTAGAGTATGCTCACTTGGAATTTACTGAACTGCTCTGATGATTTGAGAATTTTTGTAAATTATGATTTTCTGTTAAATCTATGCCCACATGGAATTTTCTGGTTATTTCTGAAATTTGAGATTTGATTGTGAATTACAGATTTCTTTTGTAAATCCTGCATGGTTTTGTCTCTGATATGGTCATGTATTATTGTGCCCGCTAGTGGGAGGTTTATAAACGCTAGCACATGTCGACATGTTTACTGATAGGACCGGTTCATTCTGAAATCCTGCCAATGGAATAAAACATTGGTTACTACTGTGCCCGCCAGTGGGAGGTTTATAAACACTGGCCATGACCTATAGATGAGACTACTACTGAATTTTCTTTTGCATTAACGGTTTGTCATTGAACACTTTGCTATTGAACTAAAATTAATTTTGTATTAACGGTTTATCATTGAACATTTTGTTATGTTAAATTGTTTATTGGGCATGCTTAAAATTTTACCCACGGGCTATCCATATTTACTTACTGAGTTATCTCATAGTTTTTCCTTGTCCACCATTTCAAGAAACGAAGTCAAGGACAAGGAAAAACAAGGGGAGTGATGAGTTAGAAGGCTAGCCACCTGTAAATTGAAATAGATTTTAGATATAGATCATGATCTTGTAAGTTAGATTTAATTGGAGATTTTATAAATTCATTTAATGGATTGTTAGTTTACAAGAGATTTGACCTTGAGATTTTCAGCTTAAGTCATGCTGGACTTAGAATTATTTTGAAATATCTGATTTAAGTTATTGGATTGTCAGATGTAAATTGGATAAGTTCCGAGCCTTGTGCATTTGTGGGACCCTCTCACAAGTGCACGGCGTTTGTTACACCTCGGATTTGGGTTCTGGGGTGTGACAATTGCACTCCAACAAGCAAGCATTTTGTATAACCCCTCAGTCTACTTCCTCCCATTGGAATGTTGCCTGAAAATAATCATAATATTACTTAACCATATTTGAGCATACAAAGTAATCATAATATTAAAACTCAAATTCATAGAGTACTTACACAGAATTTGTTCCAATAAATATCCGAATGGGGGGGAATCACCATACCCCAAGCTGTGTATGGCGCTGGCAAGCATGTCTTTAGCTGTGAGGACATGGTGCTGTGTACCTTATCTGGCAACATCCCTTGTGGGAATCTCCTTTGCTCATCATTGTGGATCCATATTTGATCAGCTAGGTTCTTTAGTGTTTCATACCCTTTTGCTACTCCCTAACCTCTCTTCCTTGGGAGCTCTTCATGATCAGAATCACTCCTAACATCTTGTTGATCTGATGTAGGAATGATTTGTTCAGGGCCTACTAGTTCTGAAGAAGGTGTTTGATCTTCTCCTAGCTGGGGTGTGAGTGTTGGGTTGTGTGGTTTTGGTGGCCTAGGTCTCTGGCCCTTGCTCCTTGTCTTAGCAATTGAAATATCATTGCATCTTGTATTAGGATTGCAAAGAGACATCCTGCAACAC